GTTCCATATAGGCAGGAGGTATGATTCTAAAGAAAATCTACATAAATTCATGAATAGATGTTTCGAACCAACAGCTGCTCTAAAAAGTCCAAAAAGATAAAATAAGAATGGTTTTTTCCCCTTCTCCTTGCTTTTGCTCGCCCGAGACTATTTGGGACCATTCGACCCTTGCTGGTGTGACTTTTCAAAATATTGCCTCGTCAGCTGTTTCTGTTTATGAGGGCCGATGTTAAACGCCACTGCTTTTTATGAATATGGCATCAGCTATTTAGTAAAATAACCCAATGAGGATGTGAACTTCACTAGTCAAAATCAAAACTTTATTAGCCTTATTTCTAGATAGCCGAAAGGAAAAAAATTTATTGCTGTAAATGTTGTTATATTCGCGGAGTTGTAGCCTTTGTTAACATTATTTCACCATATTCCTTCCCTAGAGCCCTAGGCACTACTGAAAAAAATGCATAAAAATACTAAGTTTATAATCAGGAAGTGAAGTCGAGAAAATAAAACATTGGAACAAACATAGTTTGCTGGGCTTCACTGAACTTCCAACAGTGCAAAGTCATTCGTCATACAAAAGAGCAGAAGAAGCCAAATAGACAGGGAAATTTTTATTTTAGCAGTTGACGTAGAGCATTAGGATCTAGAAAAGGGCTTCTCCTTTCGTAGAATTGGACTTGAATAGGTTTAGGGGGAGGAGAAAGGTAGAAGGCCACTTTGTGGGTTTTTAGAAGAAATTTGGTTGGGAAATGAGAATAGCAAATAATTTGTTTTAAGCTATTTCGAATGATTAAAATAGCTATAAAATCGATGTCTAAGACGCATAGAAAAATTTGTCTTCTGAAAGTACTTTACTTGCTACGCTTCTTCACTCACTAGTGTCATTTCAGCCTTTTTTGATGATTCAATTGTCTAAACAAAAAAGTTTCAAAAAAAAATCCACTTCTTCCAACCTTAGAAGAAATTCTTGGACTTTTGCTATTCAAAGGATATGGTGTGGTATCTCTTTGATAAAAGGTGTTTTTTCACAATCACCTAGACCTCACATTTATCTCAGTTTCAAGCTTTTTCTCCCTTTGAGTAGTTCCACTGCATATCTTATTTGTTCCAGTCCTTCTTTGACTTACACACAGCAACACATTTTCCTTTACCTACGCATACTGTGATTTATGTGTTTCTTAGACAGTTCACTTAGCTGTAAATCACTTAGGATTATTGTTTGTGATGCGGACGTAGAAATGGGAGAAGTAAGCGGACGTTGACTCGACTCTACTTTTTATTCCTATCTTTCATGCATTTCTTAGGAGCAAGGCGCTTTGAAACTTATTGAGAAGGATGGTTACACTATCACTTTGGTAATTTGCTTCAAATGGCATGCTCTTTAATCTTCAAAATCTTCTATCGCACATCTGCATGCTAATCCTAAGAGTATAAAATTCGTTCACAATGTTCGGCTCATTCCACAAGATTAATCTTGATTCCTCGTTTTGCCACAGCTTTTTTACTATTCCTGCTATATTGGCATCTGCTCTATCAGCTAAACTCTTTATCAAATCGGTGTCGACTCTCATCTTGCACTCGAGCACGTTCAAATGGAAATTTCTGCTTTTGCGCATTAACGCAATTACGCGATGTCTAGGATTTTGTAGCCATAGGCTCGCAACTATATGTTCAAAGAAGACTGCTTCTACCCTTTGATTCAACAGAATTGGCGGCTGGAAGGCGGGACTTCGAGGCCTAGTTGAGGCTAGGGAGTGATCAGGGAGCACGTTCGAGATAGACGCAGACTGCGTCGCGGGTGCGAGCGATCGCCTTTCAGCCGCCAATTCCGTTCAATCAAAAGGTATCGTTGGTTCGTTGACCGCACGGACTGCTCAAACGCGACGGACCCGCGCGGCGCGGCTGAAATGTTGCGAGAGCACGACTTGTACAGTGGCGGATGTGTACTGGAGCAAGCGTTTTACCTCGCGGCGCGTGTTCCGTAATGATATCCAGTCCGTGCGGTCAGCGAATGAAAACTATATAGCTTCTTTGAGCTAATCTATACCCTTTCGAAAAATAATGTCCACTAGTTTTTTTAGAAAACTGCATAAATGGTCAAAAAGTCTTGAACGTTCCTGCGTAAATTTGTGTTCTTGTGAATCCGCACAAATCATCAATCACCATATCTACCGCACTTTCTAAATTTTTTCCTCCAACTCCTCTCAGACCATGACACAACCCGGAATTCGCTCTGAAAAGTCCTAGCCTCACTGCGATGTCACAGATTACATTAGGATTTTTCCTCAACGTCTACATTACTGCTAAAAAGTGAGAGATGCGATTAGGCCACTCAAGTGCCCATCATTTGCAAGGGAGGCTCGTATTTTCAGTGGGGATCTTTCTGCCATGACATCTAGAGTTTCTCTGTAAACGAGAAATTTAATCCAAATGTGCTGCAAATTTTCCTCTCTGTTTGCTTATCATTTTTTAGGTTTTCGCAAATTGTGCAATTTTGCGAAAAACAAACATACCATGCTTCACGACTGGGAGGCACTAGAACGCTACGACACAATGTTTAATTGGAACTTGTTTGTTCTTTGAATTCCCATGGTAAAAGTTCAAGACAAGGTAAACACAAGTTCTAACTTGTTGAGTCCATGGCGCACAGCATTCGTGAGCATTCTAGTTCTTGAAAAATGTTCAATCGGTTTGTTCTTTGAAGCGTCCGCTAATCTCATGTAGTATAGTCCCGTCCACCAGTGGCGGACCGAGGGGGGGGGGGGGGGGCGGGGGGGGGCGCGCGCCCCCCCCGAGAATGGGTCGCGAAATTTTTGAAACTTACCTATATGGGTTGTAAAAATGTGCAAACGACTTGTTTGCACTGGAAAATAATTAAAATAATTTTTAAAATTTTTTAAAAATTCATTTTAGCCTTATAAAAAAATTTTTTTCGGGGGCGTGGCTGACGCCACGCCCCCTTTTTTTCAGACTTTAGGGGTCGGGAACCCGCAAAAATTTTGAGAAGCACCCCAAAAATTTTTTCGGAGTGCGTGGCTAACGCCACGCACCTTCCTTAGAAAAAAATTTTTTTCGCGCCCCCCCCCCCGAAAAAAATTTCTCGGACCGCCACTGCCGTCCACAGATCGTGCTACCCTTGGTCTGCGTCTCAGACCTGCCACGTGTGGCTAACACGTTGGCAACGTGGCAACAACATGTTTGTAACATGCCCCAACATGTTGGCAGAACATTTTGGCCACGCCAACATGTTGCTGCATGTTGCCAACATGTTGCTGCCAACGTTGTCAATGTGTTAGTCACACGTGGCACGTCCGCGACGCCGCAAGGGTAGCACGAGCTGTGGAGGGGACGATACGTGTTTGCAATCAATATTGCAACTGAAGCAGCGTTGTTATAAAAGAAATCACTTGCGAATTGCTGATTATCGATTATGATGCCAACTGATGCCAAGGCTAAATCATTTTATCGATTTAGCCTTGGCATCAGATGGCATCAGTTAGCCGCATCGCACCTGCGCGAGTTCGCCTTTCTAAGGCATCGTGCATACTTCACGCGACTTCAGCAGTGGCACGCTTTATGGCAAAAGTCCAATTGTCCATAACTCATCGTAAGCTCGTTTTGAGTGTACAGAAGTTAAGCTTCTAGCAATTTGCGAGAGTTGTCATTCATTCTCTTACTAGGAGACGCGAGCACGCTTTGCGTAGATTTCATTAACAAGCTCATGAATGAGTTTTAACGGGTTTTGGTTGTTTTACTATTAGAATTCTTGAAAGAACATGTTTGAGCTCATTATACCACGCTGGCTTCAACACGTTTTTTTTTCGCGAACTTCTAATCTAATAAATTAACCAAGCGTTAGAACTCATTCATGATTTGTTGATCAAACGTACGCAAAGCGTGCTCGCTCTCTTGGTCAGAGAATGAATGATATATACACTAAGCATTTTTCGGTGAAGTATACCCGGGCCTTTGTTGAATTATTAGGGTGAACGGTAAAAAATGGGACAGCTTGATATTTTTTACATTTTGAGGTTTTTTGTTCTCACCAACAACAAGCAGACTACAACTCAAACGTACCTTCGCCTATTATTCCGGCAACGCGTTAGCGTTCCTCTCTCATAACCCTACGCGTAGGGCTGTGAAGAACTCAGACAGGGTTTTTGGAACAATTCTCATTCTTGAGCTGCTATACCGTAAAGTCGTAAAGCAAATGACATAGCATTCGAAAGAGCTCTTCATGCTCTTTCAAACGATATGTTAAACGCATGAGATTTCTCTTCAATTTCAGAAAAGAAAGCGAAAAACCTGAAAGATAGCTATTTATGGCGCAATAAAAAACCAAAAAATCATGTTTGCCCTATATTTTCCGAAGATAGATAAAGTCTGAGATAAGCTGCATATGGATGGATAGAGCGCAAAAAGCTCTCTCAGATGGTACCTAGAAGACATGCGTTCACCTGCAAAGAATTGAATAGCCCGTGTCTTTGTCCTCAAAGCTGCTAATGGCCATATCTCCTGACTCTGAAGGTTGAAGCCATCAAGCCGTCGTGGGTTTAGTGACTGTCCCAAATCCACGCTAGCAGTGGTGCTTTGGGTGGTCTCAGATGTTTCGCTGCGCAGATACTGCTCAAACTTCATAATTTATTGAAGTGACTAACTTTGCATTTCAGCAAGTATAAAAATTAATAATTATGTAAATGACCTTATATAGTTATTATCTGAAAGAGAATAACATATTCTAACACCTATAAAAATTGAGAAGACTAATCGCTTTTCTTTCTTGAGAAACCTCCAGTTATTTCGTAAATGTCCCATTTTTTACCGCTCACCCTAATATAAATCGTTGCTAATGTTTTTCTCCACGTCATTCTTAGTAGCAAGTACACTTTGGTACTGTATCTGAGAAAGATTTCCGTTCGTCCTATAACTGATACATTTGGCTTCTGTTGTGCAATGTCGCGCCGATGACGAGTTTCCTCGAATCCTCAAATATAACCGTCTTCTTTCAGATGTCAGACGTGAAGGCATTTCTCTACGAGATATGCATCCCACTAATCGGAATACTATGTGTCTTAGCTGCAGTTCTGAACACCGCTGTATTCCTGTCCAGATTTCATGTGAAATCACGATCAGCCACCTTGGAACTCACCTATTCTTTGGCACTCTCGGACACTTGGACGAGTTTGGTCATAGCGATCTCGTTAATATGGAACTCGTACAAACCAGTGGTACTGCAGATACATCATAGCACATATTGCTTCCCGCTAACTTTGGAGGTTGGTTTGTCTACTTGTTAAGCTAATTTGCTCTCCATGCTTGGATGCATTATCCATAGAATAATCAGCATTAGTCGTGCAATTATAATAGCGAAGAAGGAAAAAGTAAATAAAATACGAGAAATAACAAGAAAATAAGATTTGGCTACAAAACTATTGTCCTTTCAACGCTCGCGCGTTTCGAAGTAAAACTATTGTTCTCTTCTTCAAATGTCAATCATTTTGTATCTTGAGATTTTGACCAAAATTGGCTGGAAAGAGTCAACAAAAAAGACTTTTCAAGATGTCGTGAAAACTGAACTTTCCAGCTTTGGTGATGTTTACAAGGTAAGAAAAATATGGCATCGTGACCGAATTACTTCTGAGGACCAGTCCTCGTCTAAGAATTAGAGGCTATCTGTAGTATGCTGTCTCTGCCCTTCAAACAAACTTGATTGCAGAATTTGCAAGTTCTCGCCTGTTGAATTTTGATTTCTACAGCAGTACGTATAGTACTATCTCTCAATTTGGGGACCAGTTCTCGTCCGAAGATTTTGAAGCTTGCTTCCTATTTACTTGATTGCTGTCTCCTTTTTGAACCATTTTACCCGCAATTCGCGAAAAACTAGTTCTTCACAGGCTTTTTTGGCGTGCCCTTTCCTTCCCGTAAAATGATTCAGAAAATAACATTTGGCTACAAAATCCATTGTCCTTTCCACGGTTGCAAACTTCAAAGTAAAGCTATTGTTCTCTTCTTCAAATGTCAATCATTTTGTATCTTGAGATTTTGAAAAACAATGACTAGCTTGTAGTATCTGGGGGCGACAATGTGCGCTGCATTACCATTTCTTTTGAAGTGCAAAAAGGACATCCGGCTAGCAGGTTCAAAATTTTGCTTAAAAAAGCGAATAAATTACGCTGCGTGCAAATTCTATTAACCAGCAGCGAGGTTGTGCAAAGAGATGACATGCATTCGTTTTATTCAATAATTTGAATAGATGAGGCATAAAATCAATTTTGTGTACGTAGTTCGTCAGAAGGCCAACTGAGTAAGTAGAGGCGGATAGATAAACAAATAAATAGACGTCTGATCGATTGAATGAGACGATGAGGTCGAATGAATGGGGAAAGAAACAAAGTTGTAAATGAGATTTTTCAATGTTTCAAAAACTTGCGTACTTTCTAAATCAATTTGATTGGATTATTTTTTTTACATTTTGTCCCATTTTTAGCCGTTCACTCTAGTAAAATGATGGCATGGTTTTGAATTCACAGGGTCTCGGAAAATGCTAATTGTCAGATAATATTTCACTTGAAGAGTGGCTTCTTCATACTTCAATCCTTCTTGACCCTCTCTTCCCCTGCTCTGCTCATGTACTCTAGGTTCCTCAAGGATATATGTCCACAAAGCTGCACTTTTCTCCTACTACGTATTCTGTTGAGATCGGCATAAAGGCTGTTTTTCCCTCATCATGATATTTTTCTTACCGTAATATTTAGGCATCACACAGAAATAAAATAGGTTAGTATTCTTCGGCACAAAGATCTCAACATTCATGTGTCACATGTCTTTACGTCATTAGTCATTTCTACGAGTTTACCAGGATCACTAGCGATATTATGTAGGCGACTTACTCTATGTCACATACAGACAAGTTCAATTAGATCCAATTCGCGCGAGGTGATCGGCGTCATCCTTTTATGCCATGAACAAGTTAGCTGAAATTGCATCACTAACTGAATTGCATAAAGATCTACTTTTTTCTTCGCTTTTTTTTGGAGGGGGGGGGAGTGAGGAGAGATTAAGTGTAGCCTTCCTAGTGCATGGGGCTATGAGTTCAAAGGAAACAAGGCCCGCTAAGGATGTTGTTTGTACGAGAAAGGGGTAAAGAATATCAGTGAATGGTAAAACGAAAGCAACAATGTCTTCCGTTGTCGATTTAATCTATCCACTTAACTGGGAATTTGTAGATCGTTGAGCATACCGCGCTGTCGATCCTTCAGATCTCTTTAGAACTAGAAAATTTGTGATTTTTTCATATTTGCAGAAACTGATTTATCAAAGCCTGTTCGCTATTTCAATTCCGCTTTCGCAATCATGTTTCCATGGAAAAATTGAAAAAAATTGGAGGACTTATGGAAAACTGTTGGAAATTGAATTGCTCCATTCTTGCACAATGCAGCCGCGAACTTTGTGTCATACTAAATTCGATAGACCGAAGGTCTAGTCTGTCTGGGGGCGAGAACGGAGCCAATCCACTGGCATCACTTTCCTTCCGACTTTTCTAATTGCATCAAACTTCCTTGTGGGTCTTAGGATTCGAGCAGGCTTCCAGGGAGAAACTGCATCAATTTTACTCACGCTTAAAGACAATAAATCTAGTATTTCAATTATTTTCGCACTTGTAGGATTTTTTTTTGCCCTAGGCTATTATTCCTCTAGAATTCATGCTATACTATCTCTAGCAGATCATCCATCCTTTTCACTGACGTTAGTGCTCCGGCTAGATTCGATTAAATAACGAGTTTCGCGCTTGCGCTTGACGAGGTGTGCTGGTCGTGGCTATCACGACTGAGAGGGGTTCCGAGCAAAGATTGCGTTCCACCGGATTGTTGTCTGCCAGACGATATCGTCATACGAACGTGGAATGGGAAATTCTTGAGGTGAAAGTTGTGAAGTCGGGCTAGACGGTGCAGCAAGATACCAAAGATTCAAGTTCTAATAGATCTTGCCGTAAATATTGTCAATACATTTATGCATGCAACGGAAAATAGCTCTAGAGCTGAACTCCCTAGAAGTCATGGTACGTACCAACCCTTGGGTGAAAACTCTTAGCACTCACTGATAGTTGAATCACAGATGTACCAGCCAGATATCGAATGGTACATCTGTGATTCAACTATCCGTGAATCTTGACATAGTTTTGTATTTGTAAATAGCTGTTTGTCTTATTCAGCCAACAGTCAAAATTAGTAACCATTCTTTTGAATCTGAATTAGCCAATCAATAAATATGGCTAGAAGTTCCAAGAGTTTCTTTTGAAAAGGAGGAAGAAGGACTAGTGTAGGGATCACAAAGAATCTGTTATAAGATATACTTTGAAATTCCTTAGAAAGCTGGCCAACTTTTCATCAATTTAATTGCCTTGAAATTGGCTGATGAAAGTCTCGGGTACGGAATTGCTTGTGGACACTGATGTCGTAGTCACCAAGTTTTGCCTCGGAGTTCGAGCAGAGACTAGTCTTACCCCGTCACTTTCCAAATTTCTCAAAATGAATGGGCCTATTCCGGGATCAAGTAAGCCCATATTGTTGTGGAATGAATCTGCGACAATGGATAAACAATTCGTAGAATCTCACGGGGTGATTGTGTGGATCTGTGACAGCGCCGGAATTCATTTACTTTCGGAAATGAAAAGCCTAGCTTTGATGAATCAAAGTACTCTGATGTTGAGGACTTTACATATAATTCGTTCTATGAAGTTCCGCAGTTTTGCGACTTTTGAAAATTGTCTATAAGGCATCTGATGGAAGATTTTAACAAAACTATTGCAGAAAATGGTAAAAGAGACTTCCTAAAAGTGCAAATCATCTTACACGTTGAAAAATTAGGGAGGGAGGGTTACGAGCTGCAAACTTTACAGCCAAAATTTTGCAGAGTTACCAAAAATATTATAAATTAATTATTATGCACTTTTGAATGAAACTGTCAATTTCAGGCATTCCGAACTGGCGGTCTACTTACGGGCATTCTCCATCTCACGGCTCTAGCTTTTGCTCATTATTTGCAAATCCGAAGGCCATTTGATCATCAAAAGTTGTTGTCATTGAGAACAGTACAGGTGACTAATTTTGACTTTACAGTCTTTAGCATTTATATGTCAAACCTCAGTTTCTAAGGAACAACTTTTTCAGGTGATTGTGTTTCTCATTTGGGCTTTGCCTCCTCTGAGTCTCATTATTTACTCCAGTAGCTGGCCGGGACAAGGTTATAGGTGAGTGACCCACTATTATCCCAGAACTTTATGACAATACTTCAAACTTATTTTCACAATCTCTGACAAACACTCTACTGCTCAAAAAACAACAGTTATTATCCATGCTCCGGCCTTCTTTCAATTTGAATGGCTGTTTAGATTCCGGTCACATCATTGACATTAAAGCGCCTTTTGATCAAAGGTTGCCGAGACCGAGAATCGAGTCATCTTATGAATACCTCAATTTCGTGTTATCTAGTCGTTGAGTCTCGCTTGCGTGGGGGCACTGAAGCAGAGGGTACGTCAATGCACAATTAGCTGGATTCTTGATCAGTCGCAAGAATATCTTGGGAAGGTGGACATTAGCTCTAAATCAAAGCAAAAATCAACCAGTGGCACTAACAAAAAATAACTTGTGTCACATTGAATACCACAATTTTTAATGTGGGTAGAAATCTGTTTGAGAGCAAACCTTATCAGAAAAAAAACTCTGAAAAAGTTACACATGATGTAGTTAGAGGTCTTTTTCTGAGCTGTACCTGCAATGAGTGAAAATGAATTTTTTTCAGGAACGACGCTTGCATTGGCATCGCTTTTTACGAGAATTTCTATTTTCGTGCTCTAATCTCACTGATCATTATTGTGCTGATGATTACCACAAGCATTCTTTACTGGAAAATGCTGTCAAAACTCACTGAGGTCAGTTTTTTTTCATTTATATTCAAACTAAGTCACCGAAGGCGCAGTATTTTTGGGCACGAACATGGCTTTATTAGCCGCAGAGCACATGAGGCGCATGGTTACAATGGTGAGAATATGCGCGCGCGAAGTTCGCATACGCTCAACTAAAACTGCCTCTGCTTTCTTGCTTAAAGCCACGTTCGCACCCAAAAACATCATCTTTTCAATGCAGTGTGCAGAACCAGCCAATAAATTTTGTTTCAAACTTCATCTTATGGAAACCTGATATACAAAACTATGATCGTTGCGGGGGCTAAAAATTTGCTTACACTCGCAAATACAAAATTTTGGAGAAGGGAGGTCATCTAATTTTCCTTAACCACTACCTTGCAGGTTCGCTCAAAAACCACTGCCGCGACATCTGTACGAGGTCGACGTACTGTCGTGACGGCGGCACTAATTTTCGGCACGTTCCTGGTTGGATGGATGCCAGCTAGCATCCTATTTCTGTTGACCGCCGACGGAATGCCGCTGTTCCGGAAGTCCGGCCTACTCGTTAATGTGCTTTCAATCGTGGTCCTTATTAACATCATGATCAAATCAATGACAAATCCGATCATCTATGCTACAAGGTAAGGAATCAATTTTCTCGAATGTAACCTTATCCAGAGTCGTGAATTTAGGATTCCCGAAATCCGACATTTCGTGCTGCATCGACTGCTCTGGAAAATCGTGCCATTGCGAGAAGAATCGCGAGAAGACAGTGCTAGAAAAATGGAGAAGACTCCGCTGCGAAGTTCCGCGGCAAATGCTTATATGCAGCGATGATCAGGACGCTGCGATCAAATCTATACGGGTGCGATTATGCCAAAATCGCTGTCTTATCACAATAGGTCTCACATTGTTGGTCGAACCTGGAAGCATGTCAGGAGCATCCTGAAACTAACAGACGATTTGCCAGATAGATATCTTGAAGCTACCACTCCCCAGTCTCAAAATAATTGAGTCGACATATCATTATAACTGCTAAGTTTGTTTATCCGTTGAGTTCTGTATTCTCAAAGTTTATGTCGCAATAATGAAAAAATTGATTGACTCTCAGCTTCAAAAAACCAAACAGTTACATATTTCCATCGAATGTCTCTCTCATATTTGCTCTAGTCATTGTTGCAAATTCTTTCCGTAAAGCTATGTTTTGGCCTCCAATAGGTCATACCTCAGCACCTTCAACTGTCGTTGAATTTCAATGCTAAAAGCACTCTGACTCGTTGTGTTAGGCAGAGTTCACGCAATTTAATCGTAGCGATTCATCGCTACAAGACAAGTGTTACTACTAGTTCATTGCAAACCGATCTTCTTGTATTTCGGTTTTGATAGTTAGTCACGATTAGTAGTGATGGGAAACTATCACAACCGAAATGCAAGAAAATCGGTATGATGATAGTGTCATACAACTGCCTTGTCGCATCAATAGCGACGATGAAATCGCGTGAACTCTACCCGAGGCCTTAGGAATCGGTCGCAGTTTGCCGGTGTTGAAAGTGTTGAAAGCGTTGCCGGTGTTGAAAGTGTTGAATGTCGAAATCATCAGTCTTGCAGTTCATTCTTCCTTGAGCGAATGAAACTGGGAAATGAGATGAGACTGGAATGAGATGGGAAGTGCTCTCGCATGCAGAAGATCCTCGCATAAACTTTTTTGGAAAGTAGAGGGCGTGGAAATAGGAATTCCAGTATTTGAGAACGCTGCAAGACCTCCCATAAGTAGGTCTTATACTCACTAATCGTAGAAGCGCCGGACTCGACACCTAACACGCGTTACGCAGACTTTAGCAGCGTTCAAAATTTGGAGATTGCTTATTTAAAACAAGTCCTCTGCTTTCCAAAAGTTGTACGAGAACCCTTTGCGTGCGAAGCATTTCCCATTTCATCTGAATTTCATTTCTCATTTTCCATGTCCAATTCAAGCACACTCACCAGGCGGTGAGATCGCTCGAGAAAGAATAAAACTGCAAGATTGATGAATTCCACATTCAACACTTTCAACGCCGGCAACGCTTTCAATACCGGCAACACTAGCAAATTCTGACCGATCCCTTATTGATTGTTGAAACGCTCACAATCAATATCATAACGAAGTTTCGCAACACTGTTCATGCCGTAATGTTTGGCATTTGTGCTGAGATCTGCTAGTTCTGATTCTGCCTTCTATCGACGGGAACGACTTGATTATTTGGTGTACAATCTGAACATACTTTTTGAATTTGTCTCGCGAGTACTTGTTTACAAGCAAATAATATGTGTCCAATAAATAAAGTCAATCGCATAAATGAATAAATACAGGAAAGAGCTAGCTAAGTCTACTTGACCACTGGAAAGATTCTGAGCCACAGCATAGTACATTAAGAACGAATTTGCTGAGCACATAAGCTTAACGTTTGACGTGCTTGTGCACAGTTTGCTATTTTCAATACAGTGACCGAACAAGATGAGTCGAGCTGCGCGTCACCACCGTGTCGCGGTCTATCCCCTCATCTGTATAAACCTGCACACAAATTGAATATTTGTCGTAAAGTATTGCAGTTGCAAGCGATTACAAATAAATGGCAGAAAAAGCTAATGGAACGCGCAGCCACGGCTACAGATGGCAGAGAAAAAATGTCTTGATGTTTGCGGGGATTTGCATACTGACCATGCAATTCGTCAAATTCTTAAAAGCAGTTAACTGCCCCTCCCGCTTCAGATACAATTTCAAGCGCTCAGCTGCTCAAATGTTTGCATCTGCTTCAACCAAATTCGAAAGATCCTTAAGCCTGGGTGCAAGTCAGAGAAACAAAAAAGTGTGCTAGGATTCGATCATCTAAACGACGAAGAGGCAGCGAAGTATTTCAAGTTAACGTTTACATTCTTTATTTTGAAATTTCCATAGTGACAACAAAAGAGGAAGATATTCAGGAATCGGCTGTGAAGAGCGATCAAGATGTTTTAACACACGTTTTGGATTGTTCCAGCTAAACAGATTCTGGGTCATCGCAAATGCTCTCCTGCCATACCGAAAATAATTTCGAAAACACAAGATGCCAAAGAAACCCAGGACGTGCTGACTTTCTTATGGACACGAGAGAGGGAAACGGTCCTCATAAAATCTATGAAAAAAGTTTTTGGACTCAAGCGCGTATTTCATAAGAACTCTTCGATTGGGTCGCTCAACAGAAACGTATTATCATACGATTGCTTTACCTTGTCAAATACTATAAGCAAAATCTCGAGTATTATTCCCATCTCTTGTGTTGACGAGTCTTGCATTGAATGAATTTTTCTCATATTGCTCTCAAAGCATTCCTATCACGCTGATGAATGGCAGAATTATGCATGTAGAGGCGAAGAGCTGCTGTTGTCTGTTGTCCTTGTTCAAGTATATACTGACCAAGAAGAAGCGAACTGCTTTCCATTTCCGTAGGAGATTGAATTGCGGCCTTGACCTTCACAGCTGTTTGATGGTTATAGACTTTTGAGGAAAGTAGTTCTGGTCAAAATGACCAGAAATGATGGCGAATGAATTATCGATTACACACTGCATTTCTGTAAAGTAAGGGACAAGAGTATCTGAGGCAAAACTGAGTTTTAGGATACAAACGAACACTCACAGTAACTACCACTCCCGAGCTATAAGAAAATGTTGCTTGGTTGCTTCAATAGCTTATTCTGGAAAAAAAGGATTTTTGCTTTCTTCTATCACGGGTTTCTGTTCAACCGATGGAGGGTGCCGAATATCAGGTCATTGAGATAACCTTTGTATATTATTTCAGGATACAAACGAACACTCACAATTCTGCCACTTTACTCTCTACTTTGTTGGACAATTTCTTTCGAATGAGATTGCGCGGCGTTAGCCAAATTTCTAAAATGCAACCCGGAACTTTGGCCCATAAAACGGAGATTTGGAAAAAGGGACGCGGCAAGCCACTTCGAAAAGATTCTTACGAAGCTGAAAAAAATTCGAAAATTGCAATCATCCGCAGGTGAAAACCTAGTCATCTGCACGATATAGCCCATGTGAGAAACTTTCAAAAATTTTCTTTCCATTCCGTAGAAGGAGGCCTGCTCAGGGCCCGGCACGCGTTGGTTTAGAGCATTTTTGGAAACGAAGTCCCCCATGACTTCGCGAAAATTTACGAAGTCCCTTTTGACGTAAAAACTAACAGGGAAACCTTATTCAATCAATGCAACAATAAAAAAGCGAAAAACGCACGTTTTGAGTTATTTAATATAACAAAAAAGCAAAAGAAAGACATTCTGAGTTGATTAAAGACTCTGTCATTGAGTAGGGTACCACTTTAGTGCTCAGAACGTCGAAAACCTCCTAGGCCAACCAAATCTGTGGCCTCAATAATTTGGCGATGCATTTTTCACCTCACGGTTCAAAGGACACCGCATGTGATTGGAGCGCGATATCTATCAACGCGCAGATTTACACTACTTTTGGCTCAAAACAAGGGAAGAGGCAATGGTTTGATTCGCTCTTTTCACTATATGATAGGTTTTTGACCGTTCTAATCGTCCATATCAAAAAGGTCCCAAACTTATGTGAACTTCCCGATATTTATGCTCCGAACCAACCCAGTTGGTTTGGTGTTCTTCTAGAAACCAACAATTTCGGGAACGGATATTAGGACACATGAGTTTTTGGAACTTTTTACATAACATAGCTTGGAGTTATATTGTATACGCATAGCCCAAATTCGGAGCCATGTGATTGTTTGTGCGTTGTAAACAAGCCATTTGTTTGTTTGAGTCCTGCGTTTGAAATTCGCGCGCTTGCGAAAGAACACGTTCGACTCCTACAACCTGACATGTTCATCGCGTTTTTTTCTGCCTTCTCCCATAACCTTAAAGACAATATTCCCTTTGCTTCTGACTTCAAAAACGAAGTCCAGTTTGACCCCAAACTATCTGTGCCGGGCCCTGGGCCTGCTTGCTCCTCGGTCCGTCACTTCCTGAAGCTATGGGCATTGCAGCTTTTCGTTCTACCACGACGCTTCCCACAGAAACTTTGAAATTTCTATTTACTGGGAATATGAAGTCTTTCGATAGATTTGAAATAGTGTTGTAGAGGCGTCCCTTATATTGGAACTTGCTCGCTCACTATAGGCTAGGTCGATATGGTTTCTGTGGTTGCGGCGTACCCGCCGCACTTTGATATATTTGTGTGTTGTTCTCGAGCTATTCCTAGTGAACCCTCGGCATGTACGCCGATAGGCAGAGGGGGAACTCTTGTGTTTTTCCAATAAATCGTCGACGCGTTCTACTACAAATAGGAAAGAAGAAAACATGTGCGCAAAAAGAGGTTTTTCTGTTCTCTCACAAGAATCTGTTCTCTCTCAATCATGGTCAAGATAAAACAAAAACACTTTCAAGACGTGATTTTTTTAACGCGTTGACGACCATTCTCGTAAGCACTCCCTGACTTCTGTTCAGCGCTTTCGTGCAACAGCCTTTCATGTGTAAAATAAAAGTGTTATGGCAACTTCTTAACAGTAATAATCAGGGTTGAACGTGCGGTCAGGCGCGCCCGACCTGGGGGATCGTAATGGGGGGATAAGACTGAGGGGGGGGGGAGTCGTAATTAAGAATCGAATTTGTTGAATGGGGGAGGTGCTTGAAGGGAAGAAGAAATGCGTTAGTCCGGTGGATATCGCGGTCACATGAAGGAATGATAATCATAAAAAGCATACTGATTGTTTCCACAATGGAAGTTTCATTCAAAATTCAAATCTTCATCTCTTTTACCTTGACATATGAGGTCGACAAGGAAGCTTGCTGTATGAAATGCTGAATCCTTTTCATAACCAGCATGTCAAATTACCTCTATGCGCTCTACAAACCATTACCTACTGCAGTTTCCAGTGTTTCTCAACGTCTAAAAAGCGTGATTTTCAAACGTGACCAACTTGGTTTCAGAAGTAAGAAAAGTCAGCTTTTGTATACTCATACCAAAGTAATGTTCTTTACAAGTCTATGCTACAAATCAGGCTTCATGTCGCTTCCAAACAGTGAAGTAAGAAGTGCTGCCAAAATTCCAACCGGCGCGTTTTTCACGTTGAGTGCTTCAACTCCTCGGATTAGCACTAGGCCGAAACAAGTCGAATCAAGCTCAAACACTTACTGCGGAATCTTCGAGGGTTGGGCTAGCGAATCATGTACAACTTGGGTAAAAAAGCTTTTTCGGAAATAAAGTTAATGGGGTCAGGCGCAACCCCTCAAAAGGTCAGGCCGCCTGAGCTTATGAGGGGTTGCGCCTGACCCTCTTAACTTGCCTTCAGAATTCAAAAATCGCCCCTTTTTGATATGAGTATTGAGAGCAAAGCCTCTTCTTGCTATATTGAAAATTCGGAGCCAAACACTCCACCCCTTTGAAAAATATAGCTCTGAAAAGAGGACTCTCCAGATCTAAAACTTGCCGTCAAGTTGCGTGTGGTTGTGCAATCGCAGAAAGTCGGGCCTACAGACTTTCAAAAAAGAGAAACCTGCAGTGAAGGCTGGTCTTCTTTAAAATATAAAGGATTTGGAGTTGAAGCGGAGGGTCGTTCAGAGGCTTTCACAGGGGGGGGGGGTCGTTTTTGAAGGACTTGTGCCTGACCTCTTGCTCAACCCTGGTAATAATACTGCTGGTCTGATTGTCAAATAGAACAATGCGCATCGCGGTAGCTGTTTAGGAGTCTGAACCGCAGATTTAGATATGTCCATTTTAACCCATTGACGGCGACGCCTAATTTTGCATGGCGACGCTGTGGGACGACGCGGTTTTGCACAACACTTTCGGCGTAGGGAAGTTTTGTGATTATTTACGACATTAAAGTTGTCTTGTAGACAACCACAATCATCCTTTTGGACGACAGATAAAAGTCTACAGGTTGCAAGAGTGCAAAAAATTGGAACTAATATTGAAGTGTTGAAAAAAGACTGGATCTGGAAAGGATATGATTTTGCAAATTGTGTCGGCCACCGGTGGCCCACATCT